TAAAATTAGGCCTTGAGGACTTGAAATTATTTTAAAATTGAGTTTTTTAGATCAAGCTCCTTGTCACAACCTTTTAGGCTCCGAGGGCTGAAAATATTTAAATTTGGGGTTTTTAAAATTAGGCATTGAGGACTTGAAATTATTTTAAAATTGACTTTTTTAGATCAAGCTCCTTGTCACAACCTAATCCAGAACTTAGAATTAATCAATCTAGGAATAAACAGTGGAACGGTGAAAATTAAAAGTTTTTAATATTCATTTTCTATAACTAACATTTAATAAATGAAAAAGTAACTAATAATTAATTAAAACAATACAGTTCAAATTTTTCTCATTTCTGGTTGTTCCCCATCTTTTATAAATATTTTCACTTCTATCGCTAATTTTTTAATCAGTTAATTAAACATAAAAATTTAGTTTAATACAACAGTAAACTAAGCAAAACTAGTGAATTCTCATACTGCTAAATTATAATAATTCAATGAAAAATGAGACAATGCATACCAATTAATTTATATAAAAAATATAAGAGCATTTAACTGTTTGCACTATTTAATTTGATCATTTAAGGTAATTTTAAACTTTTACTATATCTCACTATATAGTTTACCTATCAATATATTTATTTATGTATTTATTTGTCATATGAGCACCGTTTAAATTGTATCATTTAAGGTACTTCAATATCAATATCTTTTTTTATTTATGTGAACATATAACTTAGCGTTCTACTGTTATTACCATAAAGAGGTGACTTCATAGTCAAGCATGCACATTCAAGCAATGAAAATAGTAAATCTCATTCTTATTTTCTTTTCATCCCATCAATAACCTGAATTATTCATTTAAATGACATGAAAATATCCGTGACATACACTCAATATGAGCAATTGAGCATAAAGAGTCAGCAAAATGTATCTAAACAAGTCATAGACTGAATTAGATTTAGAAGAAATCAAATACTACTACAATTTAAAAATTTAAGTACTCACCTTGATCATAGATGATTGCTTGCTCTTAACTGGATCTCTTCTCTTAAATTAGTACATATAAAATATAAAATATTAAATTATCACTTTGCTTACTTTAATTTAATTATCAACTATTCTTATATTACACTATTTTAATTAAGATTTCAATACTTAAACCATAAATTATTGAAATTAATATTAATATCACAAAATACTATTAGAATTAAAATCCTAACCTTTCTTTTTTGCCGTCAACCATTTTTTTAGATCTAAATTTGAATATTTTACTACTTGAATCCTTACAAAATAAATTTCCCATTAAATACACACACATAATTATTTATATAACAATATATTGACTTACTAAAATACTAAGCATACCTTTTTATAATTTTTGGCCTCCGCCCTAGCCTACGCACGATACCATGCTCCATCCTCTTTCGACCGCTAATCTTTGCGCAGGGACTTCTGCTTTCGCACGATTCAATTTAGAGCAGCGCACGCAACGCCGCTTCCTCCTACTTCTTTTCACGGCTTCAACTCCCTTGCTCCTCTTCTTTCCGCACGCAACACAACGTCACAAGTTTGACTCCTTCATTCCTCTTCCTCTGCACCCTAGCAAAGCATTATTTTCCTCCACTACTTCGCACAGAGGTAGTGCATGCGAGGTTCGCCTTTTTACCTGCACGCAGAGACCTCGACTCTACTTCCTCTTCTCCAAGAGCACGTCTAAGCCACCACAAGTATGGTTCGGCCTCTTCACCGCCCACATGAAGTCCTCTGCCCTCTTTCTTCTTCGGCACGGTTCGATCCTGTACCGCAAGCCCTCATGTAGCTTCCCTTCGACTAGAGTTCGACGTCGAAATAGGTAAGTGACACTCACTGCTCCTTTGTTTCCTCTTCTTTCTTTTTCTTTCTTTCTTCATCTCCTCCACTGTCGGGTTCGTTGATTTGAATGAGGTGAAATGTTGAAATAGTGTGAAATAAATCTCTTATGAGAGTCTCTTCCAACAACCAACACCTATTATTATTGTTATTATTATTATTTTTAATTAATATCTTTTATTTGTTTATTATGAAAAGTTTAGTTATAAAACTCATGTGGTTTGAAAATTAATTCAAATTTGAGTTTTTCAAACCTAGGTTCTTAATGGGTTGAAACATAATTCAAATGTGAAGCTTTTAAATTTGAAAGGTCGCCATCGATTTCACAATATAATCTACTAGCTAAAAGAAGACAATCCTTTTTGTAAATTCAAGATCAGAATAATTTTTGCAAATATCTCAATATTTAAATGATTTCAAAGGCGTACAAATTTTAGGAAATTAAATGCAACACGTGGAGATCTGTGAGAGTATTTTAAAACTTATATGAGTGAAAATTTGGATATTCTCAGGGTGTAAATTTAAAACATCTTAATAAATTAGTTAGCTATTCATGATATCAGATTTCTTCATATGCCATTTTGAAATACATTCTCTCTCAAATTCATATTTTAAAAGATCATCCACGTCGTTTAAAGCCTATAAAATTCTTGAAATTCTGCAAATATATAAAATCATACCTGCATGGGCTCCAGCTAAAATTCGAAATGTTTTATAAAATAGCATAGGAATGCTATGCGGGTTAAGGCCAAAGTTGCACTCAAATAAGCTCATATTTTGAAAACAATCAATCACTCCTTCCTGTCCAGAGGGCAGAGTTGTCAGTCCAACTTACGCAGTCCAATCTTTATCTTAAGGACTGGAGTTGACTAGTCTAGTAAGCTTTAATAATGTCAAAATTATATATATATAGATAATAATTTGCAGATCCAAATTGCCTAGTTCGATCTCCTCCTTGTTAGGAGGGGAGTTGACAAGACTAATGTACTAAAATTATGAAAATTGACAAATTTTAAAAGAATCATGAGCATAAATATTTCAAATATTCAAATCTTCGAGTGACTGTGTTGATTGCGAATCTCAATCGGAGGAGCAAATTTTAAAACAAAATTTCAAAGTAACAAATTAAGCATTGAAGTAAAATTAATCACTTTAAAAGTTAAAGCAAATTACATTCACTATTCGAAATTGTTTGTTAAGAGTAACAAACTTTTGATTTATTTCATCTCACAAAAGTGCTAATGTCATATTGAGAGTATCATATTCACGCTCAATGTAATTTTACCTCAGTAAGGGCCTGGTCTGAGTCCCTTGTCTCTATGGTTCATCTCACAAAAGTGCTAATGTCATATTGAGAGTCCCTTGTCTCTATGATTTGACCCAAAGGCTCCCCAAAATTGTGGTTATGGTTAAAGCATTTTGACTGGGCAGTTGCAGTCAAATGACACTACTGTATTACGGTTACGCCTATAGCCCACATGTTCTCAAACAACTTTATGTCATTTGAGTTGTGAATAATAAGGTTACATCTGATTAACACAAATCTTCTGTTAGTTAGGATTGACTTATATTTGTCCCCTTAGACAAGCATTCACCCCAGATCTATAAGGGTGATTTGCATGATGTAACCCTTGCTGATGTTGGGTCGACTACCTCCTCTGAATAAGTTGATCAGGGATTACAATGACCTGGGATGGCGAAAGTGTGAGTTCTTGATTAGGTTCGTCATTATTTCTCCATCATTCGTTTTAAACTTCAAGTGATAAATTTACACCTTGAACTGCATGTCTGCTGCTATTATATGCCGATTATTATGTTAAATGACTAGCCTTAATCGAAAGTGATCTCATGCTTTTAGGAAATGTAATTAGTCATAGGTGTGGCGCCTGTGAGAAACCTCGAACTCCAAATCAGAAGTCATTGTAAAATGAGGGTGAAATCTCTGGGTAGTGTTTTATCTACAATCCAAAATGTCTTTTGCAAGTTTGATCCTCAAAGCTCTCAATAATAAGCAGAGTCAGGAGTGTCGAAATTTTCGAAGCCCACATAGAGGTATGCTAGCTCTGATACCAAATGATATCGGGGCTTAACCGAACACCAATATAAAACAAATATTATTGTTGAATTTAAATTTAAAATTACAACAATATAAGGTAGAAATCATAAATTGTAACAAACACAAGGCGCAAACTAGAACTAGGGTCAGATCGAGGGTGTTGGCGGTGCTAGCTAGGGGTTAAGAAGGTGGTGGCAGCAAGGGGGGAGGAAAAAGATCTGGTTTGTGGATTTTCTAGGGGTCGACAGCAATGGGAGAGTGGTGGAAGGGGCGGTTCTGGGTAATGTTAACAAGGAGGGAGGACGGGGATGGCTAGGAAGGCTGGGTTGAGGCTGGCGGGCAGTCAGAATGAGGAAAAACAACAACTGGGCGGTTTTTCCAGGGAAGCAACAGTAAGGTGGAGCGGCGAGAGGAAGGAAATCGGTGTGAGAAGCGGATGAGGATGGTATCGAAAGTTTAAACATCACCTCTGAAAGGAGATATGGCTAGAGCACGTGTCAGAACCCTTGGATACAATATTAGACAGGAAAAGGGAGATGCTAATAGCTGTCCTGAAACAAGCACAACAAAAAAACTGAAATCTAAACACAATAAAATAGAAATATATGTCCTAGATAACTAAGAGTGGCCTCTCCATAGGCGGCCGTTTCTTGGCTTGGAGGGACAGTTGACTCCTCAGAAGCCTGGACCAGTTGAGTCCAGTTTCACCCAGGTGTTCGCGCCCCCAACAGATGCCTACGCAAATATATATCTTTTTTCATGGATAATTTTGTTTTATTTTCCTAAGATCAATCTAGGGTACATCTCACTTTCCTGTACGTTATTCTCTTCATAACTCATTTTCTTTTAAAAATTTCATTAATCTTTTCTCAAAGTAGCATTTGAACTCTTTCAATTAATTGAAGTTTCTTTTTAGTTATAAAGGCAAGCCAACTACATCTATTACTTTTCAATTGTACTACTTTTCATGTGGCTATTTTAGGCTCCATCTTTTGTTAAGTTGGTGTTATTTCAACTTTCATCCCCAGTAACTCTTGATAAATGTAGCCACTAACTTTCATTTATTTTGGCAAAACATGATATTTCAGGTTTAATTTGATGGGTGAAAATTTGGTCGTACCTATGCACTCTGGATGAGTATCTGTTCCTGGAAGCAATCAAATCATATTCAGCTAAAACTCTGATGGCTTATAAGAGTATTGGGCCTGCTATAGCTTGTGACAAAGGACGTTACAAAGAGCAAAGTAAACTTTTGTGTTCATACTCAAAATTAATACGAGGCGGATGTTATCATAAAACACAAAAGAATTTGTTGAAAATATTCAGGGAAGGAAGTTTTTTCAGATTAGTACATTCTTGTTCGCCATACTTTGGTAGGCACTGCAATGAAAAACTATATACTTGCTGCCACAACAGAGGACGAGTTGGGTCATGCCATCTTACAAAAACTCCAAGCAGTGAAACTAAAATATGTTCGAGGAAGGATTGCTGCTCAGATGTCGCTAGGTATGTTTATCCCGCCAGTCTATTTATTGGTGTGATTATTTAATTTTTTTTTTATTTGACTTAACATACATTTGCAAGTTTGAGGTGATCACCGCAACAATGTTGATTGTAAATTTATTAGTCAATGAAAGAATATAGATAGAGCTCTCTATCACATGGAAGGTTGACTGTATTTAAAACTATGAAGCACGGACACAGACACGGTGACGCGGACATGACACGATACAATACGACGGCGCGACATAATTTGAAAAATAGGACGTGATATGACAGATATTTTTTTTATATTTAATAATTGATTAATATAATTATATATTTTTAATATTTTCTACTAAAGACATCACAAAACAACAAATGCACTTATCAAGAAAACTTTATAAGCATAAAAGTTATTTATGACAATATTAAAATTACATTCAAAATATCAAAAAATTACCAAAACACTTAACACCAATGTCATACATAATAAAATGAAAATGCTAAAATTTAATAAAATAATTATCACTAATTGGAGTAAATGCATTTAGTATTGGTGTCATCATTTGTGCTAGCTCCATTTCCCTCATCAATAACACCTTCACTTTCATCAACAAAAAAATACTGCTTGTAAGCATGGCTTATCAAGAGAAAGATTAGCAACTTCAAGGATTCCAATATTCTCCATTGTAGCCAAGGCATCTCCACCAACATCCCATATCATTTTGTCGCCTTGAGAATGTTCTAAGCTTCTCCTAGACAGAAGATGGAGATTTATATACATACCACCCAATTCTTATGCATGAACATCCATAACACCTAAACTTCTATTATTACATACAGGCCAAATTCCTCATGCATAAAAATGTGTATTTCACCATTTAAACAGCACAATGTTAGTGTTTGTGATGTGAAGTGAAGAACTTGGGTTGTATGTATGTTTGCTCCAAAATTAAAAGAAAACCGCAAGTTATTCTGCCTCCCGTCCAAAAAAAAAAAAGAAAACCAAATTTCAAAAAGAAAGTCAAATGTGAAGTGAAGGATTTGGGTGGTATGCAGTTAAATGCTTCAAAATTAAAAAGAAAAGCGCAAGTTTTCTGCCTTCCATCCAAAAAAAAAAAAGAGAGCACATTTCGAAAAGAAACTGCATGTGAAGTGAAGGATTGGGGTGGTATGTATGTAAATGCTCCAAAATTAAGGAAAATTGCATGTTATTCTGCCTCTCTTCCAAAAAAAAAAAATATTTTTAAAAGAAAGTTGCACGTACCGCATGCGTGGATCATTCTTGGCTCCCGTTGCCTCTCTCTAGATCGTCCTTAGCTGAGCGTTGAAACTCTGGACCGCGAGGGAGTTCGTGTAGAAGCTTTCTATTGTGAGGCTCTTGATCACAAGGCGATTCAATCAGTGATGACGAAGTGACGCTTGAAGCTTTGGATTGTGTGGCGACTCGATTAGCGACACTCGAAGCTCTGGATCGCAAGGCAAAGCAAAGCTCGAGCGACTCGATTAATGACACTCGATGATGATGTTGCTTGCTTCGATAGGCTGCTGCGAGGCTTTGGTAAAACCTAAACACCTTCAAATATCGACACGTTGGATTCTGCTTCATCACTCGACTTTTATTTGTCGTGTCTATGCCTGGAGTCAAGTGGTGTCCGAGAAGGCAGAACTGCCTACACCTGTATCAAGTGTCGCACATGTGCACGACTTCTTTTTGGGAGTGTCAGTGCTTCATAGATTTAAAGAAAGCTTAGCCCAAATTAATTTTGACTTGCTAAATGATACCAAATTTGGATGGATTAGAGCTACATTAACACATTACCCCTTGTAGTTCACTTATTTCATCGCCATCATCAATGGACTTATGCCATGTTTTTGATGCCAATCTTATGAATCCTTGGTCTCCATTTAATCTTTTTTGTTGCTACACAAGCTTTTACTTAGGGCTCGTTTTAGACCTCGTTGCTATGGTTTTTTTTGTGGTTTTTACGTCTTGGAGAAGCAGAAGCAGCGTTTGATTCCCCTTTATTGCCAACATTACACCGGTCAGACTGCATTGAGTCGAATGCGGAAACGGAAGGGGGATGTACAATCCACGACTGGAGCTCCATTGCAAAGTGCATTTGACGTCGCCGTCCCTTTAGATTTTCGATAATCCCACTCCATATATCCTCGCATATACCCTCGCCACTCCTCCTTTCTCACCCGCATCGCTCGGGTTGAAAGCTGGTTCCACTCCCCTCCGTTCGACGCTGACGTCTTGTTGCAACTTCCCGGTGAAGTTTTCTCCTCTATGAATTTTTTTTTGGCTTCATTCGCTGCATACCTTTGCGTTTCTTGTTTTCTCTGTGAAAATTTTGACGTTTTAGGCGTATTGCATATGCTTTGATGCAAAGTTGAGGTTTGCAAAGTAGATTAGTTAACATCATTCTTACCTGTTCTGATCCATCAGTAGAAGCAATGAGGTAAAATATATATGAGCAATGCTCACTTATTTATTTCAGATTTTTTTGTTGGTCTATTTTATTTGGATAGTTGTATGAGCACCGTTTTCAGTTTTTTTGACAAAATATGTTGGTTGAATTATTTGCTTTTGCTTTCTTCTCATTGTGGAGTAATATTTTGGGGGAAGAATGTTGAGCACTGCTTATTTTCTTTACTTTATATGATACTTTTACAAGTAGAATTGCATATGCTTTGTTGCACAATTGAAGTTTACTTGACAGATAAGTTAGCGAAAACTTTACCTGTTCTAATCAATCAATAGAAGCAATGAGATAAAATATATATGAGCAATGCTTATCTATTTATTTTAGTTTTTTTGTTGGCTTATTTTATTTAGATGGATATATAAGCACTTGTTTTAAGTTTCTCTGATAAATTTTACTACTCGAATTGTTTGCTCTTGCCTCTTGCTCAGCGTGGAATAATATCTTAAGGGGAGAATGTTGAACTCTATTTCTTCTTTTAAGTTTATTTGAGACCTTTATAAATAGAATTGCATATGATATGCTGTACATTTGAAGGTTTATATGATAGATAAGCTATCTGCATTCTAACATGTCCTGATCATACAACAGAAGCAATGTGGTGAAATATATATGGCAATGCTTATATTTTTGTTTTAGATATTTTTGTTGGTTTATTTTGTTTGGATAGTTATATGAGCACTGATTTTTAGTTTTTCTAACAAATTATGCAGTTCGAATTGTTTAGAATGTTGAGAATTATTTATTTTCTTAAGTTTTTCTAGGATTTTTATAAATAGAATTACAAATAATTTGTTGCACATTTAAAAGTTTATATGATAGATAAGTTAGGAGCATCCTTACATATCTTGATCAATCAACAGAAGCAATGACGTGAAAAATATATGAGCAATATTCATCTGTTTATTTTAGATATCTTTGTTGGTTTATTTTGTTTGGATAGGTATATGAGCATTTGGTTTTAGTTTTTTGGATAAATTATGCTGACCAAATTGCTCAGAATGTTGAGCACTGTTTTTTTTAGTTTTCTACAACTGATACCTTTATAAATAGAATTGCATATGTTTTGCTGTACATTTCAAGTATACATGATAGATAAGTTAGCCGCATTCTGATCTGTTCTCATGAATCAACTAAAGCAATGTGATGAATTATATATGAGCAATGCTCATATGTTTGTTTGATATTTCTTTATTGGTTTCTTTTATCTTGATAATTATATGAGCACTTATTTTGAGTTTTTTTTAACAATGTATGCTGATCGAATTGTTTGCTCTGACCTCCTCATAGTGGAGTAATATTTTTGCGAGAGAATATTAAGTACTGTTTCTTTTTTTATAGTTTTTTTCTCCTGAAACTTTTATAAATAGAATTGTATATGCTTACTGCATATTCGAAGTTTGCATGATAGATAAGTTAGCAATATCATAACCTGTTCTGATCAATCAGTAGTAGCAATGGGATGAAATGTATATGAACAATGTTCATTTGTTTGTCTCAAATTTCTTTGTTTTATTTTGTTTGGATAGATATGTGAGTGCTGGTTTTAAGTTTTTCTGACAAATTATGCTGACCGAATTGTTTGCTCTTGTCTTCTGCTCAGTGTGGAGTAATATCATAGGGAGAGAATGTTGATCACTGCTTTCTCTTTTTTAACTATTTTCTTCTGTTGAGACTTTGAATAGAATTGCATATGCTATACTGTACATTTGAAGTTTGCATGATCAAATATTAGAAGCTATGAAATATAGTACATTTCAACATTGTTTATCTGTTTTTTTCATAATTTTATGTGTACCTACGATCCATATGCATTCACTGAGCATATGTGCCAGATAAGATATCAAATGAAGGATGACATTCAAATGTTTTTTAGAGCGATGATGGAAAATAACTATGAAAGGGCTCAACCAATCAACACTTGTCAAATTTAAATTGGTGATGTTATTTTTCCACAGATATTACTTGTCGTCAAAGAATACGTTTAAGTGTTTATTCAATTTGAGAAAACGGTAATTATGAATGGAGTCTTCTTTGGTTAAGAGATCTCATTGTGTTCTAATTGTTATCTCGAGGATCCAAATTGGCTAGCACGATAGAAACATAAAATTGGTTATGATATCTTATCTAACACGTGTTCGTATTAGTGCTTGGATATGCATAACAAGTACATTAAAAATTTTGAAATAAAAAAAATGAACAATGCTCATATGTATTCATGTCATTGCTTCTACTGATTGATCAGGATATGTATAGATGCGACTAACTTATATATAATGTAATTTTCAAATATGCAACAAAGCATCTACAATTCAATTTATAAAATTCTCAGCATAAGAAAACTATAAAAAAGAGAAACTGTGTTCAACACCTCACAAAAATGAGGTCAACAGGAGTCAAGAGCAAGCACTTCGGCCATAATTTTTCAAAAAAAACTGAAATTTAGTTTTCACATATTTTTCTAAACAAAATAAAACACAATGAAATCTGAAATTGACTTGCATGGATGATTTACATGATCTCATTACTTCGGATGTTTTGTCGACTTGTTGGTTGCCTGGTTTCTGTTTTCGACGAGTCTTCCAAAATGTGATTTGGTGGACACATTTCACATTTCTTGTGAAATGTTTACTGGACCGATTATGAAAAAAAAAAACATAACAAAGGGCTTAATTGATTACTAAATGTGAATGCGGAAAAAAAATGACTATGCTAATTTGACATAGATACTGCCTAGTCTTTATACCTACTAACACAATTTGTAATCATGGATGGAGCTATCTTTGACATCTATGAACTGATTTCGAGCTCTATTTTTACTTTTTATTTGACATACTATTGCTTTGGTTCATGTATTGTTGTTTTACATGCCAAGTTATGTCGCTACATTTCTCTTTTTTCACTTAGATATTAGATGGGTAAACAAAAATGTGAGATATATGCTATTTGGGATAGAGAGACGAAGATAATTTTCTGTGAGTAATGCTTAAAAGAGGTAGAAAATGACAACAGAACAAAAACACATTTCAATAAAGAAGATTGACAAAATATAACCAAACTCTTTTAAGATAGAACAGGTAGATTGTACAACAGAACTCAACTGAAAAATAAATGAGATTAGTCTCAAAAGGATTTGATATTGTGGAAGGAGCTCAAGAGAGGGGCTACTGGTTTAAGATGAGATCCCATTAGAAAAACAGTTGATGCATCCGAAGAGTGGTGATAAGAGAAGATTTCAGTAAGTAGAATATCTTACATTCAATATTTCTTAATTTTAAATTTAGTTTCTTAGAAGACCAATTTATCCATTGTAAATTTTACTTAATGCAAAGAAATTTAGACTTGTTGATATTGACCCGGAGCTGGAAAAGCTAGATACTATGCTCCTTGGTGTTGTAGCAACAGGGGTCAACGTTTGGGCCACAACAGAAGAGCCCACCTAATTTAGTGCTTGAATATGCTCATTTGTACGAGGTCTATGAGGAACAACCGGAAGAAAAAGGGAGCAAGGGGAGTCCAATCGCTTCAACCAACCTGCACCCTCGACACAAAAGGGGAAAAAATAGAAGTAAAGTTAGGGCAGCTCATCCATCCTAACAGGTATCTGCAGTAGCATTACTTCGAGTGCCTGCACTGCTCTCCATGCATATCCAACAATGACAGATGTTGTCAAGCTGCTGGACTCAATTCTAGAAATTTCTTAGGACATGCCCCCTTTACTTATTTGCTGTAAAATTTTTGGAGGATCGAAACAAGCGAGAAGCTTTCTTCAGCCTGCTCTCTGAGCGGAGGATTCCTTACCTCCGTTAGTTTTTAGACAGTTCGATTAGTTATATGTCATGCATATGTTTTCTTGTTAATTTGTATTATAACAGAGTGACTATTTGTAGTATTTGATATTTCTATTGTAAACTATGACTTGTGTCTACTATTTACGACGTTTGAATATTTTTGGATTTCCTTATTTTTAAAACTTTCATTGCGCTCATTTTGAGCATTTACCTGCATTGAGAATAACATATACTTCTGAAATAAACTTAATAATATTCTTTCAGTAAAAATTGAAATTCCAAATGCATTTTTTTATTTTAGTAATAATAAGCCCTCTATTGGTCTATTTTTTAACTACGTATGTAAAACTTGCACATCTTCCATTAGGACGCTTCAATATACCTCATCCTAGATATCTTTTTATAAATAACTCTATTGCCAACTTCAGTAGCCTATTTTGATAGGAAAGTTTTTGGCTTGTTCTGCAACTATTCCAATTACTCGCCCTTGCAAAAATCACACATGATTAATAATTTAACATACTTTTGGTGCACACCTTTCCCCCTTAAATCCCACCAAATCAATCATTGTAATTCAAGCTTTTTTCAAGATGTAAATAAGAGTTAGGTGTAGATTGTTTCCTTTCTCCGCTTTCTTCTTCTTTATTGTCTTAATGCATAAGCTATATCCAAATAATAGTGAAATCGATAGTGTTTTTTTTTTTAATATGATAGATTATTTGAATTTTTAGTTAAAGGCAAGGGATTCTTTGTAGGCATTTTAGGCAGGACAAGCGAACAACCAAGTTTGAATTTTTAGCATTTAAAAGATGCGTGTGTGACGTTCATCTCTGAATCCATGTTTAAGTGAGTTACCACAAAGATATATGCAATTATCAAAATTTTTCCAGCATGTAAATATAAATCTTGCAATGTAGATTCAACTTATTTCTGCTTCTTGTGTTATTTGCATTATTTGGTTAGGATGTGACCCGCCAATGATTTCTTGGTTCTTCTATTTGTAGTTGTCAAATGGAAGATGAGAAGGATGAAGGATATGGTTCTCAGTTGTGCGAGCAAGTGCTATCTGGAAGAGTATATCACCCAAATCAAGGCCTAGCTGCAGCTTGTAAATTTGTTTATAATGATGCGAAGTTTGTAAATGAAAGGGCACGGAATGACATTATTTTGCTTTCACGGTATCATTCATCTTTGCTGTGGTTTAGGTTGAGCGTTGAATTGTCATTGCCATGACTTGCCTGTTTTCCGTTTGTTGATTACCTTGAAAAATCTTTTGGGAGTTATTTTCTTAGTGTAAAATTGTTTTGAATAATTGCAGGACAACTTTGTAATGTGTTTGGTACGAGCTAAATTGTTGCAATTACTTTTACCATCAGCCTATCTTTTTCTTAATTCATTTCTCAATGTTCCTGCAAAGTATTTTTATAAAATTTAATTTTCTGGTATTTTTCTTATAATTTTAGACATTTTCTATGTATCAACTTGAATTATTTTACTCACCTGTGTGACTAGAATATGCTATAAGTATAACCGCTTTTTTACCTGTTATTTTCTCACATCTCAAGTACTCAGCCAAGTATTTATCATTGAACATCATAAAGAATTACAAGCTGAAAATATGTAAGAGAATTAACTGTCTAAGCAGTTGTTATGCCTAAAAGAGAGAATCTCATCTGGAAGAGTTTCAGGTCTCTCACTTGATCGAATGATTAAATCATTTGATAAAAGAATAAGAAGAGTCTTCACATTCTATGGGGGTGTTTTTGTAGCTCTTTTTAGTAGGATTATCATGTGGATTTAATGTAAATCTAGCCAACGCAAATTGCAGGGGAGCTAAATCCAGCTGTTCTCTAAATACATTTTTTTATCGTAAATCCCGGATTTACTAAATTCGTTCAAGAGGTGGATTCAAGGGATTTAAGGAATACGAATGTGTGTGGATTGTCTCTTCCCAAGCTCATCTCTTCTTTTGTCGCTCGTTGCACAGGAGAAAATCGAAGGGGAATCGTTGCCTTGTCACTTACCACATAGAAGAAACTCTACGCAGATTGATGCCCCTGTCACTTGTCACATAGTAGAAAATCGATGCGATCTCTCTTCTCTCCCAATTTTCTGCTGTCCTCTGTCGTCGACTTCACCAGGAAGAAGAAAGGTCAGCTCATCATCTTCTTATTTCTCCTCGTTCTTCATTTGTAAGGCTATGTGGCCTTGAAACTTTCTCTCCCCAGCACATTATTTGCACATTTCTTGGCACCCACGGTTCAGACCTGTAGAAGTTGGAAGTATTAGCTAATAACAATATGTTTGATTAACAAATCCTTTTATTATATGTGATGGACAAGGAAACCCGGCAAGGAATGGAACCCAGGTAGCCAGATTATTACTGTTTGGACCACATGTAGAAATCTAGGATGATTTGGAGATGGATCCTTATGACTAGCAATTTTATTTATTATATGTGATGCATATTATAAATATAAACTCACATCCACCCTAGGTTTGTACATGTAGAAAGTAATGATTAGATACAGACAAATTCATCTCTGGCAAACACGTGTAAGTTTTTTCTTATGTTTGTATAATTTATCATATGATAAAATTGAATTAGGTCACTTTTAAAAGTCTTGGGACAAAGCAACATATTGATAAGATATTATTTCGGATATTATTCAAACAAGTATTTGAAGATGGTTAAACATGATTCCAGCATTATTTAAACACATTCAGCAAATGTTGGAAACTTTTTCTGGCCAAATCAAACAATTATTTGAACTCGGTTTAACAATGTACTAAATAATGCCTGAAGCAGATTTAAATGATATTTAAATATGATTCAATCACAATACAATTCTATTGTGATGTTTTATCTTAACCAATTAATTTATTAAGTTGAATTAAGTATTATTTGTTTTATATTGAATGAAAGAAGTAAAATAGAAATAACAAATTATTCTTTAGAAAACTGAACAAAATATAGAAATTAAAATGTTTTCTATTAAATTTCTGATAAAGCATGTTTACAAACTTATTGACATTGATTATAATAAATTTAATTTGAAATTAATCATAATGTGTCGCTTGATGGAGTATGTCCAACAATTTCAATTTCTTTCAATAGAATATCACATTAATTTAAAAGTTATATTGTTTAATTTATTTATATTGAACCATATGAAGTAAATATTTATATCTACTTAATCTTAAAGTAATATGATTTTTAAAATAGGGCTAATTGAATGTGGTTAATGCTGAAGAAGTTGTGAGTAATGACAATTAGACTACAAATGATAAACATAACAGTATGATTGTTCCTAAAATAGCAGACTTTGAGTATATGACAAATGATTAAGTGATCATGAATTATCAAATATAATTTACATAATGTCAAATACGTTTCTCATATAAGAGAACTTCTATAATTTGTATTATTTCTTCACAAAACTTTCATTTGAAATTTGTCATACTATTGACTTTCACATGAAATTAATTTTGTTAATTTTGATTATCCTGTAGTGATGAAGAGTCTCAAAATGAAATTTAGTTCAAAGTGGCACCTGAACTCCAAAATTAAAGTATTTCAATTCATAATGGAAAGATAAAGAGTGCAACCAAAGCTCCAAAATTGTCAGGACAACATAATAATGTTCTTGCAGAGTTGCTTCTCAAACAATTTCAATTTGGAAATATATCATTAATTAGATTGAGGAGGGAAAATTAAATTTTGTGTTTGAGGCACTAAACAGACGTTTAGGTACCACTTACAGGAGGCAATGATGATGACATATTTCAAAAATATGAAGACCGATGTTAGGATGATGTCTTATCCATCGAATTATAGTGGTTGGAGTTAGGGATGAAAGTCTATATATGCCGATAACAACTGATAAAATTTAGAATGAGATTGTACCATTAACTAATCATATTAATTTTCTCTACATAATTAATCAAACTTATATGAGAATTTAATTATAAACAAATTTTTATTGGGTAATCTAAACTTTACACGATTTCTAAAAAAACCCTTCCACCAGTATGGGATTTTTGAGAGGATCTGTGTGGATAATATAACAATAGATAATGGAGCCATGCGTTCCAATCAAGAGCTCTACCTAGATTAGAGTGAATGAGAGGAAATGACTACGCCTATTGATGATTTTATGTCCGTGAATGGAGTAGTCTTTGATGAGATGATTGTGCATGTTCAAGCACCGGAAAATTATTTATGTCCTTGGGGATGTGAGGAAATCGAAGACATCAAGCATATAGTGGCGAATTGCAAAGTGCTGTAGGAAATATTCAAAGCTCTTAGCAGATGGGGATTTCAAATGCCGGAGGTTCACTCGGAAGTGCAAACGTTCAGGTGCGTGGCTTCTCTCCCGAAGGCTCAGTTTCTTATTGATTGTTCGTACTGTAATACCGTCTATCAGAGTTGGAGGAGCACGAATGTTAAAAAGCATGGTAGATCCCATGGGACGCCCACCACCATGGTTGCTACAGTTCTTGAATCCCTCACCAAAATGTTTACTTACCCAATTGTGGATCACTGGAGCACTTCTCGGCCGGATAGGTTGTTGTCTTTAACATGTTGGTGGCTCCCCCTCCCGGTTGGATTAAGTTTAATGTGGATGATGCTTTGCTTTTAAATTGCATTGCTGTTATTGGTGCTGTTGGACGTGAGGAGCAGGGGCAACTTGTGGTGGCTTGCGATATACAATTCCTGCATTGGGATGCTTCCCGAACTGAAATGGAGGCCATTTTAGCTATCAAGGACTGCATTAGCCTGTGAATGTATGAATTGAAAGGAGCGGTAATCGAGGGGGATAACCTGAACATCATTAAACTTTCTCGTCAAAGCATGAAAGAAACTACGTGGCGGGAAGCGTCTATGGATGATGATGAACTAGCTTTTTTTAACTTTTTTAAACAACCTCTTTTTTGTTATACTTCTAGTGATTTCAACAAAGCTGTCCATTTTTTGTGCTCAACATGCTTTGGATAGTTCTTTTTTGTGGGGATAGGTCGGAATGTCCTCTTTTGCTTTCGTCTTTGCTAAGGGATGACAACTCCAGTTTTGGTTAGTATCCTTTGCTTTTTAAAGCTGTGGGCTTGTTTACTTGAAATTTTTGTTGCTTATTTTAATGCAAAATGCACACCCTTCACGGATGTTCAAATGAACGAAGAGTGACCATACAAGCATTAGCTAGTCAACCGAGTGGTTGCAAACATTCAATCACAAGAGTCCATCCGAGAAAACAGAAAGATAAAATAAAAACAAATATTGATAACATCACAACATTGTTGGAGACAGTTAACAAAAATGCGTAGTTGTTTCAACAAATCGTGGAATATCATTCCCTGTACACAATAGATGAATGTGTGACAAAGCTTGACGATATTCCAAACATTTATAGTGAAGCTATAATTGTCTTTCATGAAATACTAAAAAAATGATAATGGAAAAAAAATATATCTCATGAAATAAGATGACTCGTTGCGACACAATTAGATTGAATTTGTACTTGTGTCTTATCCTCGCTTGTACACTAAAAAAATTCTTAACAAATTGCTAACAAATTTTTGATAATTTTGATAAAATTTTCTTTATCAATTTAGTAAAATCCTTAGCTTTAGAGAGCTTTGAATAGCTCTAAAATCTGGGGCAAATTATAATTTTTGATCTAATGTCCACATCAGTTCTCTTCTACAAAATTCTTTACTGTGGACAGGTGAAGTGATGAAACGATGGATGATATGCCCAATTAATCAGAGATGATATGATCTTTATGGAATCCCAACAAGCTCATCTGGAAGTAGTTGTGTACGAAGTTGCATCTGCACTACTTTTCAAAGGTCCAAAAATCCATTTGAAAAAGCATCTATGCAAATTATTGGAGGCTTGAAATGCCTCAATTAAGTAAAATATCTTTAATGTAGAAAGTATGACCAATAAACATGTAAATGATCAAAACATTCATATACATAAAAAGTTTCATCTTTCTAATAATTATAATATGTCTTTGAGGCTTTGATTGTTAATATTAAGTAGATGGAGCGTAATTAGTGCATAAGATGTATGCATAAATATAACATCTTTTATTGTTACTTTGTGCTCAATGGCGAGCAATGATGTTAACATTCAAAGTTATATTTTGCAAATCACTGATCTCATTACTTAATAACATCTTTCCTTGTACTTGACAGGTTTCTCTTTATTTAATCTTGAGGCATGTGTGCGTATAATTTATTCTCCAGCTTTAGTAATTGTAATTTGATCTCATATTTAATAATAATATCTTTCTTTCCTCTGTAGTTGTGATACTATAATTACAATTAAAACTTCATCTGTCCTCTTGTTGCAAACTGTATATCTCTGATCTCTCTGGCATGTGCATGTATAATTTATACTCCAGCATTTTGGTGAGACATATGCTGCCTATGGGTTTCTACTCTCTACGTTTGTGGACTTGTGTAAAATGGTATATTACAGGCATGCCTATTTTGCCATCGATGGAGCTCATTGTATTTGCTTGCATCTGGCTGATTTTCAATAAATTATTTGCGTCCTTAGTATTGGTCTGTTTTTATGATGCCTGAATGTAAATTATTTTTGATGATCTTGCCCAGTGGCTTGACAAGGTTGAATGACCGTGCTCGACAAGATGTAGCTGTTATTGGCCTTGGATTTCTGAAGCTTGATGGTATGTTATTTTATTGTCATTGGTCATTATTTCTTTTTCAGATTATAAATATATATTCAGATTGGGTTTATATCTGTTAGGTTATGCATTCTGATTGAATCCGCATAACAATCACTGATTTATGTTTTTAATACTTTGGGAAGCTCGTGCAAGAGAGGACACAGAGAAGATTGACTACCACATGAGGAAGAAAGCTGCTTATTTGCGCAACGTAGCCACTGTATGTACTTTGCAAACAACTACCGGTGAATTTCATAAATTATGCTAAATGGGCAACCTTGTTTTGACATCAGATTTTAAAGGACAAAGCTCAGTCTAAATTGAAAAATGCAGCAGATAAGCACTGGAGTGATGGGGCTCTGGAGGTACTTAAGTAGTGTTTTAATCATGTTTATTGAATTTCATACATCTTATCAGCTGGCATATGTTTGGTGGGGAAACGTTTGTCCTAAAACCTGAGTTGAGCGTTGATGTGTTAATGATCACACTTTAGTTGGCTCTGCATGGATGGTTGCAAATTGATTGCATGCCCGAGTAAGAAAAATTCTGGTCCATGCCAGAAATGCTATTCAAATACATTAGAGCTGCATTTTTGGTAAATAATGCCCTGAAAACTGAAAAAAAAGGAAAAATTTTTTTTGGGGTTTTGCACTCAAACATCGTTTCAGCATGTATGTGTTGACCTCATTTTTAGTGAGGCCTAGTATTTCTCGTAGGAGTTAGGATCTAGCCTTAGGGGTCTTCCTGTTACTATCTTAGAACCTTAGAAAGGGGACCCGCCTCGTTTTAGAAATTCAACCCACTTTTAAATTTTTTTTGGGGTTTTGCACTCAAACATCGTTTCAGCATGTATGTGTTGACCTCATTTTTAGTGAGGCCTAGTATTTCTCGTAGGAGTTAGGATCTAGCCTTAGGGGTCTTCCTGTTACTATCTTAGAACCTTAGAAATGGGACCCGCCTCATTTTAGTTCGACCTACTTCCGTCCCCTTTTAGAGTTTCGCGCATGTGGTATCGACTTCTAGTACTTAGAAGGATGAAACCGACATGAGGAAACCCAAAAGGTATTCCTATAGAACCTTTCCGAGCTTTAGGGTGGCTTTAGGGTGGCCTTCTGCATAATTCGCACTCCCGCACGCACAAGCTTTGCAATTCGGAGTGTCGACGCGTCCGATCGCTACAATTCACATCGCTTGCACTGTTATTTGTCGAAGGCTCGAATAAATCTTTTGAGACGATCGATCGCGGATCGAACTTTTGTGAAATTTGAATTTTAACGTGTTTTCGACTCGATTGTCGACGACGTCGTCCGAGCGACCCCGGATGACGAAACGGACTGCACCGGCGCGTCCTGAACGTCGATTTTGCCCAGGGGGACACCCATTTTATTGCGTCCTTGCCCGACACTCTCTGCCCGCGGCCTTTTTTCCCGAAGCTGTGCCAGTCTCCTTGAGTCGTGGATTTCCTTTTCTTGGTAGTTTGACTCTGGGAAGCTTGTTCCCTGGTATACTGGAATGGCATTCCTTCTCTTCTTCCCGATACTTCCCTCGCTGCCATTACTCTCGCCGCTCGGTCCGAGAGACTTCGGTGGCTTCGCTTTCTATGAGCAGGGACTGTCCCTTTTTTTTCCTTGGCCCAATTCGAGTGTCGTGGACCGTTGGGTGTGATCTCTTTTCTTTTCTCCCCTCTTCTCTGCATATAAGGATAGCTTCCTTTGATTTTGAGGTTGTTGAAAAAGTTTGAAAAAAAAAAAAAAGAGGAGAGGAATTGATATTTTCGGCTGTGAGGAGATTAGAGAGGGAATTTCTCTGGGAGAGCATTTCTTTGAGGTGGTTTCTTGCATTGCTGTGCTTTACATTTGCATTGAGGAGGTACCTCTTCTTCCCTTTCTTTCCTGTGCCCTGGTTTCCTGAGTTTTTTTTTTCCCTCTGTCGAGCCTCGTCTTGCTCGGTTAAATAGAGGATATAGCATGTTGGATTCATTTTACTTGGGTATATTTTTGAGATATTCACTTCAAGTGCATTTGGAAATGAAAATGTGAGCATGTGTTAAAATTAGACTTGGTTATTTGCTTAAGTTAGGGAGTGCATCTTACTGTTTTATGCATGTTTGGGGGGCTCAGTTGCGGCATCCTGTTGCTTTCCCTGGTTCGGAATGTATGCTACGAGGGAATTTATTTAATTTAAAAAATTTTGTAGCTTGTTTTGAGGGCTTGACTTAGCTCCTCGTGATGCCTCACTCCTGTTCAAATATCTGTTGAAATCATATTTAGATATGCAGGTGATTCCTCGGCTTGGAGGCTTGGTTTTGGCTTGAAATGGCTAGAACTTCATTTTTTTTTATGAAAATTTGGATTTTAATATTGTATGTGTCTGGCTTTAGCTTTGTTTCTTGTTGGGCTGGCTGGCTTTATTTCTAGTTGTGGACTGGCTTTGGCTTTGTCTCTTGTTGGGCTGGATTTGGTTTTATTTCTAGTTGGAAATTGGCTTTAGCTTTGTTTCTTGTTAGGTTGGCTTGGGTTTTGTTTCTTGTTGGGTTCAGCTTTGGCTTTGATTCTTGATTGAGTTCGGTTTGGCTCTAGTTGGGAGCTCGGCTTTGGCTCTGGTTCTTGATTGAGCTCGGTTTGGCTCTAGTTGAGGGCTGGCTTTGGCTTTGGTTCTTGGTTGAGCTGGGTTTGGCTCTAGATGGGGAGCTGTGTTGGTTTTGTTTAGCCTTGCTGGGCTCGGTTTGGCTCTAGTGTGGGATGTGTTTGCTTGTTTTAGCTCTGCTGGACTGGTTGGGGGCTGGCTTTGGCTTTGTTTCTTTTTGAACTCGGTTTGGCTCTAGATGGGGAGCTGTGTTGATTTTGTTTGGCCTTGTTGGGCCCGGTTTAGCTCTAGTGTGGGCTGTGTTTGCTTGCTCTAGCTCTGCTGACTTGGTTTCATTCTAGTTGTTGGTCTTGATTTGCTCTGTTTGGCCTTTGCTGGCCTTGGATTGGCTCTGAGGTGGGGGTTGTGTTTGCTTGTTTTAGCCTTGTTGAGCTCGATTTTGGCTTTGTTTCTTGTTGGGCTCGATTTGGCTTTGATTGAGGGCTGTGTTGCTTTGTTCAGCCTTTACCCGAGGAGTGGTTGGGAGGTGGCTTTGGTTCCTACTCCTACCCGTGAGACCCATTGAAATTTCTTGAGTTTAGTTTATCCGCTCTTGTTGAGTTTGAATCATTTGAATGATCATAGGGGAGGTGGCTTTGCTGGCTTTGGTTCCTACTCCTTACCCGTGAGGTCTATTGCAGGTCTTTGGGTGTGATTTAGCTTTCCCTGCTAGGCTTGGATTGACTTGAGTGTTGTGGAGGAATCAAGTTTGCCATCCAAAATGAAAATCATACTTATTTCAATTACCCTTCCGTGTTCGTCAGGGGAGTGTTGTAGCGGCTATTGGTACTTCTCCTGTTTGCCCGAGCCGTGGACCCCTTTGTGCTCTGGGTTGCTGTAGCCGTGGGCCTTATTTGTGCATTGGTTGTGGGCTTTTACAGTTGTTTTCTGGGTTGCTGTAGCCGTGAGCTTCTCTGTGCCTTGAGTTGCTGTGGCCGTGGGCCTTGCTTGTGCTTTGGGTTGCCTTTGGTTGTGGGTCTTGGCAGTTGTCCCTTGCTTTAACTGTGAACCTCTTTTGTCCCTGTTCCTTGCCTTGGCCGAGAGCCTTGTGGGTTGTTTCCCCTTCTCTGTTGACCCTGGCCATGAGTGTTTATCTGGTTTTATGGGAAGATTTTGTGCTTATTTGGTGTATGAGGCTATCTATTAATCTGAAAG